AGCTAACTAATTCGCTCTAAAGCTCTAAAGTAATTAACAAACATTTTCGACGACTCCTAAGCTCGATCGAATGTGATATCTTTGATTATTGCCCCGGTAGGATGACACAGGCACTTTCAGTTACTCTGTGCGTATTATTTTTCTTTTTACTGCAAGCTTTGATTGCCAGAAAGAATACCGAAAACAATTTCTTAATTCAAAGTTGGCTTCCTGAAACTCCCCGAAAGTTCTTCTATTAGTGCCCGGTAAAGTGTATTACAAGGTATGCTTTTTTTAGAAAGCTCTTGAATGGGTTTCCACCGGACGCCATTAACTGCCCTGTAAATGAACCATATAACATATCGCAAAGGGGGATTAATATCTGGAAAAAACATTGAGAGGAAAATCAAACCTATCGATCCAAAAATGAATCTTCTGGGGTTTAACTCAGGCAGCTTTTTGCCAGCTAATTCTGCTAGTATGGCGACAGCATTCAGGATGTTGGCTGTCATAAAACTAAAAATGTAGTAGTCATTTTCAGTTAGTATGGGTTCGCAGACCTTAGTTTACAACATACGTCTGCAGAGATACAATAACGATTATATATATATATATATATATTACTAAGAAGACGAGTCTAACCAACAGGGTTACCTAGAGCTAAATATGAATAAACTGTGCATTTCCTTGGCTGCATTGAAGCTTATCTAGCTCAATATCAATTTCTTTGCTCGCAACTAATATAAAAAGGTAAAGCTACTACTAGTACTGACTACAGTGGATTATTACTAACCTTCAGACAAGAAAGAACTTATGCTTTTACATCCTGTATGCGATACGAAGCTACCTGTTACCTGCATAAAGAGTTAACTGCTGCTGTTGAGGAGTAGGATGGTAATTTGAGACTTAAGTGAAAATGGTGGAAATTTGTGTACCGTTCATCTGGGCGATGAAGATTGCGGCGACCGCCTCATAGAGGGCAGTTCCATCCATATTTACGGTGGCCCCGACTGGAAGTACGAAACGCGTGACACGTTTGTCAATGTGGAGGTTTTCCTCCAGACATCGGAAGGTTACCGGTAAGGTCGCGGCACTATAATAGTACAGTACAAATCGCAATAGATATGTATTTATTTAACGACTACTTAGTAAATCATAAATACTAAATATATCGCAAATAATTCTCTCCAAAAGAATTCTTTTTTGCTACGATACAATATATAGAGGTACAATGATACTAGGAGAACAACAAAGATTAAATAAATATAGATAGACAGAACCGAATTGCTCTGCGTGTGTGGCGTAAATTTTGAACCAGGAACCTTACAGTTTATATATAGTCATATATATATATAAACTGTATATATATATACAATTTATAGTCAAACATAGTCAATATATTTTTTTGTTCTACATTACATAATTTATACAAAACATTAACATAGGAGGCAATATGCCATGTCGAACTTTAACTTTTTTTAGAATCAGACTCGACGAATTTCAAATATTGTTGGGCATAATCCTCAATTCCATGTACTCTTTCTAAGCGAAGTTTGTAAGTTTAATAGTGCTACTGAAGTGATCTGCAAAACTGCCAATAAATCCCTATACAGTCGGAGCTATCTTCGCTATTTATATATTCTATGTCAAACGAGCTGGAAGTAATTACGAGAGACAAGTGATAAAGCAATTTGATCGACGATGCAGCCAAAAAGTTTGTTGCCAGGCCACAAACTGTGACAGCCGTGTGGAGTAGGATTAGAGCTTACTGCACTTGAAACTTGTTCGAGCCAGATATCACTAAACCATCTGCATACAATAGGAGTTCGACTGACTTCCTTGGCCCTCTTATTTTGTCAGAGTTTTAGTAAGATGAGGAATGAGATTGGGCTTAGGCTCTACCCCTTAACCAGAGTAGTTTGTGTAAAGACGGGAGTTTCGTTATTTTATCGACAATTATTATTCTGTTCTTCTGTAGGATTACAGCTGAGCACGTTTATTGTGCCACCTACCTCGGTTACCGTGAACATAACCTTGTCACCGTCAAATTTTGTTTTATTTCTCAAGGTAGTCTGCTTGTAAGCCTATACACTCTGTTCAGCGATGTTCTTATGTTTTTAATCCGTCAAAATAGTAGTTTGCACCTTAGTCTGCAAGTCCGCGTTTAAAAATGTAGTAACCTTCTCATTCGATAAAAGTGCTTGTCCTTAATTTTTAACCTAGAAAACAGACAATAATGAATGCAGCCTTCAGTTTTTCAAAGTCGACTTATTTCGCAGTTCACTGTTTCATGTAAACCTGGGTTTCAAGGCCGTAGTGGTGTATCCACGCTTTAACTACAGTTACTGATCGATTCCAAAACTATGATTAATTTCGTCTGAATTGTTTCAACAAAGCTTCAGAGATATTTATTTGAACGCGTGAGTGAGAACCTAACGCGTGGTTAGCTTTTTCATACCCCAGTGTTCAGTCAGTATGCGACAAACGAATTTGTTCAAAATATCCACAACCTTTACTACCCCTCGAATTTTGATTCAACTGCCATCTAGCATTATTTTTCCGATGTTATCGGTAGTGGTTACACTTCTCGTTCAAACCTGTACAACCACGTCTAATTCACCTGCCCAAAATTTCAAGGTGATAAACAATGATGCAGAGTCCCAGTAAGCGATGTTCATAGCGGTTTAAATTCGCATAATCATATAATCTTTCAAACGGGGGAATTGTACTAAATTCTTGACTTAATATTCAATTTCTCATACTTGCGGAAACATCAACATCTAGTTACACAAACTACTGGCTAGTGTCTTCACAAGTGTTGTTCTACGCATCTGTAAGCATATTTTTGACGAGAAACGCCATATTAAAGCTGGTAATTTTTTGGTCTATACTATATGTGGTCCTTTCTAATAAGCAGCGAATTTGACATTTCGTTCAAATTAAATTAATAATATTCTTCAAAAGTTCTCGTCCACTGCTTGCTTACACTTTTTTTTTTGCGTTTCGCATCGTTGTTTCGTTTGTCGTCGGTGTTTTTAACTTATAATCGATTTTTTTGCAGTGTGTTTACACATATTATATAATTTATTTTGCAGTGGTATTCTGTATCTACGTATGTCTTTTTTTACTACATAGAATTCCGAAATACGCGTCTCAAAAAATTGTCGTTTAATTTGGATCGCTAAATAGAAATAAAATCTCATAGTATGAAAATACAGTGATAGCCTAAAATAGCTACTTGTAAATACCACTTGTTTATTCCTCCTGTGCCGTTCAAAAATATTGCTTTACTACATTTACACGATTTCTTAGAATCTAAATTTGCTTAATACAAATTTATTAAATGCAACAAGTGGTGAAGATAAAAAATATATAGGTAAAAATGTAACTAAACATTGTATTGAATCTTTATCTCTCCACGTTGACGCAACTTCGTTCATAAGTACCCTGGACAGTAAAAGTTGATCGTGGGATGCCAATCACTTGCTTTTTTACCGCACGCACACTAACGAGTCGCAGTTTACTCATCTGCCATTTATTTATAAGTACAACGCACCCACTTTATTTAGCATCATGCATAAAGAAAAAGTTGAGTAAAAGCAAATTAAGGGTTACATTGATACAATCTAAAAGCAAAATGCTTCACTAATAAACAAGTTACTGGACAGGTTCGAAGCTCATCAGGCAACGACAAGGCGTGATTACAGACGCAGAAGATTAAAGCTGGTTCATAGCGCAAAATATGACGATTAATCACATTGATAAAATCTATAATGTCAAGACCAACTAACGTAATAGACCACATTGAGCAATCTATATGTGTATACAAGCCGGTAAAGAAACGAATGTTTTAATGTGAGTGGAAGGACCTTATGAAACTTCCTTATATGCACAATGCTTCATTGCGTAATTGACCAACATTTTAAACTAAAGGTTACATTTTTCTTAAATTTTTTTCAACGTGCATGTTCTATTCTAGTTAACCGAGATACTGATAGCTATTTCTGTACATGGTGCTCTATTTATTATTTATATTTGTACAAAGACGTACCAGAAAAAACCGGGAAAGATATTTTTCCTGAGATCTTTTTCATCGCCCTCATTTTTTTTCCGATTCGAACGAATCCTCCATTCGAACTAAGCACAAGCAATAACGCATGAAAACGATAGAAACGATACTAGCACTTTTTAGATCATAATTGATGCTTTAGCTAATGCAATCGCGCTCTGGATGTTCGTAATTTTTTTTTGCGTTTACATGGACTTTATTGACAATCACGTTAAAGCCAAAGTTAGATTTTTCGTAAAAATGAACGGGTATTATGATTATAAAATTGGTCGGTGTTCGCTAACCGCTTGCTATAAGTCTGCAATTCTGATTTACTGCTTACGCTGTGTTCTGTTTCGCTTGTCGCTTGCGCTTGAGCTAATAGTTCACTAAATTTTTACGGATAAGTACTCTTACAATACTTGCATGTCACATATATGAATCATGTATTTCTCAAGTTTTGATCTGGAATAAGTAACCATGGTACATATTACTACTTTTAACATGCTTATCTAAATATTTATTTAAAGCTCATGTGTTTAAATGTATTATCACTCGACGTAAAGAAAAAAGTTTGATTTCTAACTGCCCTACACATTTTTTTGCCTTGTATATGGTTTTTTTAGGATAATAGCACGTATTAAAGTATGTAACTCAAGTCTCTTAACATATAAAGTACATATTTCTATCTTTAACACGAAAATGCATTAATAAATACCTTCTCATTTATGTGACATATTAAAAGGAGCGGCACACTGGCTTTTGGTAAATAAATCGCAAGAACTTTGCATTTATCCCGACAGCAGCTATAGTGAGAGAATACACTTCTGTGCACAATAGTATCCTAGAAAATATTGCCGTGCTAAGTCTATCGTTTACCTCAAATTAAATAAATATATTTTCAAAGTGAGTAGGAAATCCCGTGAAAGCGAAGTATGTGCAGTTACGTAAAGCCGCACTAATTTCCGTCTAGAAATGTTTTCGACGGAACATTGTAGGTGTAAGAAGAGCTAAGAGCTTTCTAAATAAAACAGATACAATACAATAGGCGCTTGGTAACTGGGTCATATTTGTCCTAATTTAATTTTGCTTATTTTTAACATATAATAATTCCAACTGAAACATTTATGACTCGTTGCACCTATAAAGTACTTATGGAAGAACTTAACGTTTTTCATTTACAACTTTTTTCTAATGAGAAATAGGTTAGGCAGTCCATACCAAGGTGGATTTTAAAAGTAGCTGTTGAAACTTACAGCTATTACTTTGTTGTTAAACAAATATAAATTATTAATTGCCATGTTTTCGTAACTGAATCACCTTGAAGTTTCCTGGACTTATGGACAGTCATCCGAATGAGCTTCTAAGGTTACTTTAAAAAGTTCTTCAGGAACTTTAATAGCTGTCTCTTTATGTACTTTGGTTAGCCTATGTTATGTCTATTATTAGTTTTTTTTGTGCCTTTAAACTCTTTCATGGTTTTAAACCCTTAAAATCAATTCTTGACAAGTGGTGATGACGCGCTTTTTTCTTAGATATGTTTCGTACTTATTGAGATCGAAATGGATGAATTCTTTTCAACTATGCAGGCAGTCAATCAGTTATTTTTTTGCCATGTGTTTTATTTTTATTTTTAGGCCATTTGAGGAATTTAGGCCAAGTACATGTATCAGCAACAAAATTTAGTAATCCACAACGCGTTACATATATAACTTGGTCTCAGAGAACCTTAGACGAATAGATTTTATCAATTATACAGATCTTGTTTAGTGATCTAATTATTTAAAGTATTATAACTCATGTTTTTTACCGCTCTTTTGAAGTATTTGTATTGGAAATTTCGTCGATACAGTTTGATGGAACGTTATATGCACGCAAGAGTAATAAAGTGTTCGGCCTGTTTGCACAAAAGCACATAATACACATAGTGCAGCACATGTGCCTCTTTTCCCAATAAATTCGGGCAGTTGTACAAATTTCGTCTTCTTCAAAACACTGTCTCGCCATTCTTTATCAATTTACAGGCTTCGTCTTTTAGCAATGTTGCGTTCACTTTGTTTGTACTTCGAGTTCTGGCTTTACAGCGGATGTAGTAGTTCACAACTTCATAAGATAGAAAAAAAAAATTACTAGAGACACAAGATGAGAACCCTTTCGTCGACTTTTAGAAAATTATTGAAGATAACCGAAATCAAGAAGTTAAAGGGCAAAAATAAGTGATAGAAAGCGCATCCTTATTTTTTAGTTTTAAAATATAAATAAGGTGACCCATTCCTTGTTCTTGTACCTCCTCTCACTTGGCGCATTCCGTCTTTATCGTCGCACCGCGTCACACAAAAAAGTACCAAGACGCTCAGTGGGAAGTTACATGATGAAGGGATCCACGAGCGATTCAACACCCTGTTTTACATGGGTTACTTGATGGGTTTCTTCATTACTAGGCTTTTCTTGTGAATTTTTGCCACGTTTTTGAACTCAAATATGCTTTTTTTGGTTTTTAAAATGTCGAAGCTGCTGTTTTTAGAAAGGTACCACAAAATCATATTAATTTGAAAACCCAAACTCCAAGAAATGTTTTAAAACCTGATTAAGTACTAACTATCTCAAAAATTGGAATTTCGATTCGTATATGGACAAGCAGCAAATGTTACTGGGATTTACACAACCCCACGAACTTATCCGATAACCTAATATTATAGACTAATACAAATTTGTTTAATTTATTCAAAAGTCGTTGTTTTACCTGGAAGCTGTACCGAGAGCTGTGATCCAAGCCTGTAGCATTCCCTTAAAAAAGGTTACAGGGTTCTTTCTGGTGATAAGGAAGAAAATCCCCGGAAGCGTAATACAGGCGTGGATTAATAGTCCCACTATAACTGTAACCATGTAGAGACCAAGCTGTGCAGCCGTGGAGGCCAAATCTTCAATAGACATAATCTTCCCGATAATAAGAGACATGATACCGAAAGGAGAATACCACATCACCAGCACAACGATTTTCATTACAATCTCGTTAAGCTGAAAGAGAGGGAAAGTTCGTTAACACAACCTATGCTAGTTTATAGACTGGTAAATGACCTACGTTAGTCAGCTATTAATCCTCTGGAGTATTTATCACCAATCCGTTCTAGGATTATGCAGACTTAGAATTCAGAGTAATACAGATTATTCTGTTTTATCAGTCTCATCATGCTGTGATTATGCTGAAACCAATTAATTTATAATTATTTTTCACAGTCTTACTTCATTCAAATAAAGTCTAAGATTTCAATAAACGATCTTGAAATGGATGCTTGAACACCTAACATACAAGTTAGTCAAACCGATGTGGTGAACCTTATTGAGAAAAATATTCTAGATAATCCAACTATAATGTAGCAGGCGTTGCTCTATAAAGGACTTTTGTAAATTCCGAATTGTTGCGCTCATTACAGACATTACATTTTAAAATACAAACCTGTACAAAGAACTTCACCATGAGGTCAGCTTGGGGTCCCATTTGTCCGGAAACTACGCCAAATGCAATGCAGAAGACAATAAGTCCTAGCACATTCGTGCCATTTTTAAATACTATCTTGCGCTTTAGTGTATATTCTTGTTTTCCTGCTGCATTTAATGTGGCTTTTGTTACGTTTTCATAAGTGGTTTCGACTTGCTGAAAGCATGCTTGTAGAAGATTTTCTGGAAACATATTTCTGCAAATTACACGATTTTGTTAGAAATGTGCAGCTACATAAAATGTATTTAGTGATGTACAGTGAGCTTTACGTGTTTTTCGTTATCTTCACATATACAGTGAAACCCGTTGATTAATATTTTTACACTTGAAAGTGAATATAATGTTTATAGGATGCGATACAAACCGAATGAGATCGAGGAAGGCGTCAAGGGTGGAAACTTTTTTGTCCTCCTTAGCATGATGTAGACCTTCCTTGATGTTGGGGTCTCCAGGGTGAATTGTTATTACCATAACGATTCCTACAATTGCGGCTAGGATTGTGGTCGCGAAATAGTAAACCAGAGCGCGCGAACCCATCTTTCCACTTGATTTAGGGTCTAACTGTGCGAGACCTTAAAATAATTAATTTATACAGGAATTGTTTTATCTGCAAGTATCTCGCAGAACACATTCGACTAACGTAACTCTTTATACCCTATTTGTTATAATGTTTGTTTTATTTATGGGATTTCATATCGCTTTCTTCAACTTATTGGCGTTTAAACAGGTTGTACATTATGAATACTTTCACGTAAACGTGCATTTCTACCTACGTACTTATCATTTATCAATAACCAACGCTTTCGTTAGGATTTGTATATTTTGAATAAAAAACTTCTTAAAAAAATTGCATGCCCTTGTGACTACGATGAAACACAGTAAAAATAAAGTTTGTTTGACCTTTTTAACAAACAATGAGTCCACAGAAAGAGAAAGAAAGATTGACTGCTCAAGAGTCAATTTAACAAAAACATTTACTTCCAATACCATTATCATACAACAGCGCAATGATAAGCATGAATTATCATGTTACGATCAAAGACGCGTTAAACTGATGGTGGAGTCGGGGGGGGGGCGTCAGGGAGACGATTTAGGTGAACTGTAAGCCATGATCAAGGGCAATTTTTTAATACGTTGTTGAGCACTGTTAATGCTCATATTGTGCACCCCTGTAACTTTTGTCTCAGTACACAATCCAACTTTATTAGTTGAAAAATTAAATCAACAATTGCAAATTTATGAGTAAAGTGATTTAAGGCATGTCACTTCGAGACAATATGACTCTATGAGGACGACTGCCTTGATTAAACAAATACGAACACGTACGTCTAGAAAAATAAAGCCTGCTTCTTCCTATAATGTTCATTCAAAGTTGGTAATTTTTTATTTTTTAGCTCAAAATATTTAAAAGCATTTTTAGATTTAAAGGAACTTTTTTAAGGCTACGATTTTGCTTTTTAATTTGGTACAACCAAATATTAATGATTTTAGCGAATCGTCTAAAATAGGCCTCAGTCGCTGAAGGTAAAAATGTAGCGTTATTTCGATTAATTGAGCACACTGATAAAATTGGAGAAATAATTAATTTTCAATTAGATTATCATTTGATGTCGAAGCAAGTGTCGAGACCGTTAACCATAACAAACGTTTAAAGTAGAAAAAAACAATAATATATGCCTACCCAATGGGATTCAAAGTATATAATCATATGATTTAGCACATTTCGATACTGTTGTAGCTGCCAATACCAGAATCGGAAATTAATTGATTGGCTTAGAAATGTGCGTCTTTTGATCATCGCAATCGTCCCAATCATTTAGAAAGTTTTGGTTTTCCTTTTACTGCTATCATCGACTAAAATATCTGATGTTAATGCGCAGAAACACGTATTCATTTCTTTTTATATCAGTACAAAGTGTTTCCAAGATAACAGTCTCTATTTCGAGCGCATACTGTAAAATTAAAATATTAAGTTACGAAGAATAGCACTACTTCTCAGGTGTGATTAACATATTTTGTTGAAAACGTTAAGGTATTACCTTCCACGATTTAGGCTTGTTTTTTTCCAAAAACTATTGTCTCTAAGTTGTACAAAATAAAAAATTACAGCCCTAGTTTTACGCGAGTACTCCTAAATTTCTAGCTATAATAAAATACTTTAAACAGTTTTATTAAAGATGGAAAATCAAGCATATGTACTTCAAATTCTTCGTTATTTAACCTAATACAACTAGTTATTCTTAGCGGTAAAATGAACAGGGGCATCCCATAGTTGCACTGCAAAAAACTGAGCTCTGTCACCCTTTCAAAGATTGGCTACGGGTTTTAAATACTCTGTATAATATAATGGTATGTTCCCCATCGTAACTTTATTAGGCCGCATCCATTAGATTAGGCTCATCGTAGCCATTAGATATTGCCTACTCAACGCAGCTATATGGATATATGTTCCCAGTATTGCTACCAATATATGTACTGCTCTTAAAGGTACAGCTTTATAGTACCGTATGGTATTCACTTGTCAATTCACGCTCGAATTTGGGTTGGGATTGGGAACTAATTCCAGGTATCGAAGTTCGGGATCCATCTCTGCTAAATAACTGCATATTAAAACGTATTCTCATTGTCTGTTTTTAAGACACCCAGAAAAGTAAGATCAGAGAAGTTTATTTTAGTATCAAGTAAACTTTTTTTTGAACTCGAGGGTAAATTTGAGGCGAAGGAGAGATCACACGTCGTTTGACGAAAAGGCAAACGGACCAAAAGCAACCAATTAATCCACAGATAGGTCTCAGATAATTCTAGCCTTTTTTGAGGTGAGTACCTCTGGACAGATTTGAATTGACTTTATAGAGTGCCTTTAAGCAAGACTTTATGGAGTTTCTAAATCACAATATCGCAACACTAACGGCATTGGGTGTGGAGAGTTTTTTGCGTATCTATATAAAAATTTGTGCTGTTTAAGTTCTTCACTGCCGATTGGCTTTCATAATGGTCCGAAATAAAGTTGAAACATCCGCGTGCTTATGTGTGCAGATGCTTTTGCGTAGCTTTAAAAGACATGAGCGAATTACAGGTGCATATTGATTCCGTCGAGATGATTGGATTTGCATTGACATTTCAAAAAATAACGTCGGAAATATCGATAAAGCTGTCGAACTGTAAAACCTGATGTGGCACTTAAATTTGCAGAATACATGAAGAAAACGAGACCCCGCACCGCCAAAGTTGCTTACTAGATGGTACACAAAAAAAATTGTGAGTAGATTCAACCAGATCATTCTGAGTTAATATCTTGCCCATTGTGACGTATTATTTGGTACCCTATAGCCTGTAGTCTTAAGGCACTAGATACCCTCACGTCAAATTTCGTGCGTAACACACTTGGATTTACATTGAGCACACTTGTAATGCATATTGTTAGCAAATATACTTTTTGCTAGTAATTAAAGCAAATATAGTTTGAAACTGGAAATAAGACTTAAGATGAATATAAGACGAAATATAGTGAGATGATTCTGTAACAAAAAGACTTTCAGACGGATATATATTTGCTAAAGCTTTGCCAAATATATGCGACGAGAGTGCCGCAGAGCAGGTTAACCAAGATTGCGAGCACTACATTCTCTGTAGTCATATGAACTATTACACTTCAGGAGAACGATCATTAAATGTGGATATTATGATGATCGGCGCATAAAAGGACATTAAATCCAGTCTAGCTCACCTTTTACTAACATGATGGTACTCACAACAATGAAAATAATTGAGATATACAAGTTGCCTGTCTAATAAATGTGTTTGGCAACAGCTACTCGGTAGTCGAGAAGGCATACAACTATCTCTAACCACTAGCCTTGCTTTGTTTTAAGAATAATTTTGATATGGGATATGTTTTTATGTTTTGTAGCTTCTTTGTCGCCTGCCGTATTCCCAACTGCACGTGAAATTTTCCGTCACAAGGCCGTTTTCCTAATCAAGCTAGGCTTCCTGCTCTATCTATCCATAGATCACGTTATACTTAAATGCACATACAAAGCAGTTTGTTGCGATACAGTATAATAGATTGGAGATATCTGCAACAATTCCATTGTAAAATTTTACCAAGCTAAGAATTTTGACATACAACATTCGGTTGGTGGCTTTTCAGTGCATAACTGTAAAAGAGAATTCTATGTATATTAAATATCATTGTGGCAGTGGATACAATATGGCGTAGAATTTCATTATGGAGTAAACCTGAATCGACTGGCCGTTCTGTACCCATAAATAGACCTCTTACTCACTTACTGCTAGATTCTAGAACACTTATAAACCATACTTTGCAATCAAATTTCAGCACTAAACCATACAGTATTCTTAAATTGCTCTAATCGTTGGTAGTTAGGAACCGCAATAGTAACGTTTATTATGCAAGAGGAACGCAACTGTTAGAGGAGCTGATATTGATAGAGCATCTATGTTGCCAAAAAAAAAATAGGTACTGCGTTTCTCTTATATATCTACCCGAAATCTCTGTCCCTCTGGGGATTCTTAGTAGAAGCCTTGACAAAGTAAATTCCAACGTCATCTCGAATCATCGTTGCGTCGTAACAAATGATAGATTTAAGGGATTTTAATATATAATGAACTAGATAGGAGAGAAACGCAAGTGGTTCAAACGAGTTCAGACGCTAGCCCGTTCCGTAGGATCGAATCCTACCGAACACCAAAGGAATTTTTATTTTTTTGTGCACATTCGATTCTCCTAAACATGAAGAATATGTTTTCCAGTTCACCAAAAAAATCAGGAACAGAATGTCGCAAATTATAAATATAACAAAAAAAATAGGAAGCCCCCGTAAAGTCTCGATGGTACCGTGTGTCTACGAACAATAGAGAAACATGTGAGATATAATTTGAAATTTGGGAATAAACACTTTGTTTTCCGTACGTAGAACATCTAATGCAGTACTGTGCCGCAAAGCTGGTATCGGATTTTAAAGGTATTTTATTATTTATATTTATAAAAACCTTTAGACGTTCGTTCATTTTGCTCTACATTTCTCTTAAAATAATGTTCACTACAGAATGGCACATCTAGGGCTTAAGTGTGACAGCTGGCATACGTGAAAAAGATTGATTTCTCTCAAAAAAATGCGTGTTATGCTTTGCACTCCAAAATAAATAGAAGTCTAAAAAGACAAATTGTGCCACACGTGGTTAACTGAAGTTTTCTATTTTAATGTCGTCATATTTTAAGCTGAAACATAACTAATGGCCGTTTATTTTTAATGCTTTTTTTCTCTTTCATCTTTCCACTCTTTATTTAGCCTTGTAAATTGTATTCAAGAACGAGCTCTATTGTCCTCTACGTCTATTGTGATTTCATTTGCGCTGAATGAAATTTTCTGTCAAATTTAGGCTGCGAAGATGAAGGCTGTAAGTAAAAGGAAGTGAATTTTCAATACCTACTCTATTTTGCCTGCGGAGGACATTTGTCCTGTGCGCGGTGTGAACCCAGTGCCTGAAAGAACTACTCGAACCTAATTTTCAAAGTTTGAAAATAATATCCTATTGACTGGAGGACGTACCCCTACACGGTTAATTTTCTGAGGTGGATGAGGGCCAGCTGGAGAAACTTTTAAGGGAAGATGGCTGGCACAAAAATTGAAGTAGTTGAGAATTGGATGTGAGTTAGTAGAAAAGATGAACTGCATTTACATGACTATTGACATAACATCTTAAATTTATAAAAGATTAGCCTAAATATCCTAGAAAAGAAAAAGAAAAACACAGAAATATACGGCTTTGGTCTCTCAACATCTCGTTCGGCACCGCCTAAACGCGGCCGCAATAACAGGTGTCTACACAGAACGCTCAGTACAGTTGAAAAGCGGTGCCTCCACTTCTAAATAGAGCAAAAAGCTAGGTAGCACTGTGGGTATACTTGAGCCCAGAGTTAAAAGAGGAGAAGACCAAGGCGATCAACAAGGATACGGATATGACCCAGTGCATCGAATGGACGAGGCTAACGAGCAGAAAAGACCCGATAGACAAGTTGCTTCTCCACGCTTATACCAAACCACACATAGCAAATACTGTGAAAGTTTCCCTGCAAGAGTTTGATCAAGAAGCCCTTTTAGATTCTCCAAACCTCGTGCATGTGGACTATTATTTTTTCCGATCCGAATTTCACTGGCAAAGAAAATTAACAACTGTACATTTGACAGTGAAATGGTTTTGATAAATTTATTGAGCACAGACGTAGAAATTTCTGGCGAGGAGGGATAAAAAATTAATTGAAAGATGAAAGAAGATTGTGCAGAGTCACAACGAATACATAATAAATTTCTTTGTTGCTACTCTGTTGATTTAAGTGAAACTCTGCGTTAGCCACGGCCACGACAAATGTTCTAGTTTAATAGGATACATGATAGTGTATAACTCATTGACATATATATAATTCTAATTCATGTAGTAATACATTACAACTTCTTATTAAACAAAAGACAAAGTCCTTCACATTTGCCGATCTTATTTCAACTAATTTATCTATTCGGGAAAAAGTAGCCAAACTTCAATTTTTTTTTTCGGGAATATACTGTACTGAATCCGGTTCGCGAGAGCCGTGAGCTGTTAACTTACCACTGTGCCATCTTCGAGCACAGTAAATACGACGCAGCTGTACTTGCTTCTTCTTTAAAAATGCAAACCCATGCAAACTTAGCTGGTCTTAAGCATGTTGTTCTGCTAGTGTGTTGGGAATACATATTTGGACAACTACACAGTAAATTAAAGTTCATTTTACTACACTACATAATAAGTATCGTAATATAAGAATTTGTTGCAGTAAAACTTACCAGAGATCATGGAAGATATGATGAGCGGTAGAATAAGCATCTTCAACATTCCCATGAGAATTTCACCGGGAAACGAGATAAGCATAATGCTCTCCGTTGAAGGCGCCAGCATGCGCCCGAGAAAACCGAGCAGTAGACCCAGCAGCACTCCGAGAATCGTGAACACCAATAACATATTTTCTTCACCCCATGATTTTAACTGAATAAACAGCCACATAAAACAAAAACGAAAGCATATAGCATATATTATTGCATTTGGCACTGTAAGCGTTAGAGGCCGAAATAGAACTGCAATGCATGACATACTATTACAACTATTATATTCACTCGCCACTATCGTATCACAATCCACGATCCATCTTACACAAACATGCAAATACATACGTATATAATCTATTTTATCTATACTCACACGATTTACTATACTCAGGTGCATCTATCCCACCCAAACTGATTTGTAAAGTGATCACATTGAACTGGTTTTTCTAGAGGGGTGAAATCGTTGTATAGGTGCATCTAAGCTGGAACAAATTGGATAAACGCTTTTGTTTCGTGGAAGTTTCAGTTCTCCGAAGAGCGTTATGTTAATTTAGGCAAGTTAGTTATACTTTACAATTTTAAAAATAGAACTGATAGAGAAACTTTAAATTTTTCATACGTCACATATCCTGCAGTAAAATGGGGATTTTTGCCTAAAGGTGGTTGATGAAATATAAACCATCACGACATAGTATTCGTATCTTATTTGTGTAGGAATCCTTTTTCATAAAGACATAATATTTATTTAGTTATTTTGCGAAACTGGAAATATCACATTTGAAATATTACCGGTCATAGTGCACAGTTAATATTCTTTGATTCAGTGAATCTTTTTTTAAGGAGTAAATTCTTTCATTCATACAGCGTAATACTAATTTGAGCAGTTTTTTCAACACCCACTGGCATTATGTATAACTTTTCTGTCGGAAAATCTTTTGTCCTTTTAATTTTATAAAACAAGTACAACATTAGATTTCCAACTTTTTTATTTTTATACAACTAAAATTGAGCTGATCTGTCCGTTTATCCGTCGATTTAAGTATCTGTCCAATATAAATCGACCCCGTAAAGTGGTCTCATTAATTTTTTTCAGGCGTGCCAAAGAGCCATCCTGAGGTCAGCTGCGCCTTAGATGGAACCAATTACATGAATACTATTATTTTTCAGGGTAAGCCTCTCATATAATTTTCTCGTCAAACTTAATGTTAATCTGGGAAAATTGGTCATATTTTGCAATTTGTTCGACAACGCTTAGAATCTGCAAAAGTTTTAAGTTGAAAAGTTGTTTACCCTTTTTCCGAGGAATAAGTTTAATCGAAATGAGAAAACAGGATAAATGTAACAGGGTGGGTTTCGAGGTCCGGATTTAAAAAAGCCTTAGGTTGAATTGGACAATGGTATAATTTGAAACAATGCTTTCAATACCTTCCGAAGGGTGTGTTCTGTTAACACCCCTGTGCAGTGGTAAAATAGTTAAATAGCCTGTTCCAATAAGACTTTTTGATTTCTTGCAGATTCTTACAAGTAGTTGATTAGAAATTTGCTTTGTCATTTTTATGTTTTAAAAAATGACCGTATGGCATATTAGTACAGCTAAAACTTCGTTCTCCTGCCCTTAGAAGCTGTTAACATGGGGCCATCACTAATTTTTATTTGGTTTTTGGCAGAAAATTTTCATAGCATACTATTACCATATTGTTTCATAGATCTGTTGGAGATATGGGTCCCGCAAAACTCACCCCGGCCATATTTTTTAGTGATAACAGCTTCGTTATGCTATGCTGAAAAGATGATGAGGCCTTACTCACATAATAAAGATAGCACATGATTTTGGAATTTGTAAATGTAAAAATTCATGTATGTCAATGAAATTCCAATTCAAAATTCCAATGGAAGATCTTAGTAAAAAAAAGTAGATGTTTCATTTCTAACAAGAAAGATATATATCATATTAACCCGTTTCGTCAAATTTGTTCACTGCAAATATTAGGGCACTGGACATTCATTTGATGAATATGCATAGTCAAAAATTAGTCAGACTACGAATGAAAATAAAACATTGTATCTGTATATATAGCTTTATCCTTTTTTCATAGATTGTTGAAGGTGGACATAATCTACAAACGAAGACCTTTTTGATATAAATTTTAACTCTCCGCAAAGCCTCCTTCTACTTCAATGCACCATACGTTATAGGTTCTTTTTTATGTTTAGAGTGCGTTAAGTTGTCGGTTTCCTCCTTTAAGGGGAGTCAGTTTTAGCTTGTCTATATTCGTGGGAAGGCGGGTGTAGAGCCACGTGAAAGAAAGAAGTGGAATGGCTTGGCGGGTGCTCCTATAGAATATACCATAAGCATTACATTTTCTCATGAAAATAGTTTAGTTTATAGTGTTAACAGAAGCTGCCAGTCATCTCTCCGTCTTCAAGGTCGAATAAAATCGGAATTTGTTCCCGGACGACAGGGACGCTCATACATGACTTTCATGTAATAGAAAACGATGATGGAGTTTTAAGAGAGCTACGGAACATTAGACGATACTCATGAGATGGAACGAAAAACTAAATTAAGCCGTTTCAATAAGGCGACGAGGCTCTACTTTACGGATCGCTTGCTCGTTTATGGTATTATTCTACTGTTGATTCCGGCTCGTTAGTCATTTTAGACGGTTTCAACACTATCTCCACATCTAGGCTATTCGATGGTCGCATCTTCCTTTATCATGTTGATAAAGAACAAACATGATCACTATGTCTACCTTGCTTATCACTTACGCCCGCGCTTATTAGCTTGAGCCGCTGGCTGGTTTATCATAATATTCGATTCTTCAAGAGCTCTTCTAAGCTTACCATAGTAAGCCAGGACACCACTTGCTTCAAATGGATGCCAATGTTAACTCGGAACCTCAGTTTCATAATTAGTTGGACATTCTAATGTATGCAACCAACGGGGTATTGACACGCCGTTCACTGCTAGAGCGGTATTGAGATGCAACACTATCGGTCACTGTTCACACTAACCTTGCAAGGCTGTGATTCAATGCTGTCTATTTTTTATCAAATGCTGTTTACTAGTAATCAGTTTACACAATATGCGCGTATGGTTTACAACTGCTACCTTAGCCATTATCTGGACTATCTGTGCTTATCGTGAATGTATTAACGACATTTATAATGCAAGCGATGATTTTTTAATATGTTGGTGCGAATTCATTTAATTCTGTTCCAACATATAGGTGCTCAGCATGCATTCACGTTACCTAAGATGCATCGTGGTAGACTCATGTGGTAAACTATAACATTATTAACTATTGCTAAGCTAATATACTAGTTTAACATGAGCTGTTTTTATTTTTAAGAGCACCTTAAGGTTATTGAATTTTTTCGGTAAAAATTCTAAAGGAGAACAAGCAAGCAATACAGCCTTAGTGACAGCTGCCTCTAATTTACACCAGTACACGGAGCACACATTGCTGCGGATATGAAAATGCACGAACGCATTTACTTTAATAACTGTCTCGAATTTGTTTATCTCACATGGCATCGGCTTACTGAATGGTGGAACGGTTATAATACTTGCTGTTAGTAAAGAACCCATATCTAGTATGCCTCCTTAAAAAATAATTAAATAACTATGATGCCTGTACATACCAATACGATTTATATATATACAACAGTGCTAAATATATAATAATGAATTTCTCAATTTGTATTAATACAATAGTCTAGCAAATATGTGTGTGATGTTGTCGTTGGCACTGTAATAAGCATGTGATACGTGCGCTTATTATTATTATTATCTGTTTTTCAAAACGAACAGCGCCACTGTATTGAAATTTATTCATAAGTACGATTTGGTTGCATCTATGTAAACAAGTATACCATTATCGTAGCACAAAATTATATTAACTTTGGAATATGTAAGCGTCAAGATTGGACTTTGTCGTGCGTAGTTTTGTGGGGATCACGGTAATGGAGTATCTGGCCTTCGAGGAATACGAACGTTAGTGTGAGGACTCACGACAAGAATGATAACACTGTATTTCTTCATTATAGATCGACGCTTTTTAACGAAGGCTTGGATCTGTTACAGGAACTGACGGCGGCCGACCGCGTTTCGCTGACAACAAAGCCTACAGAATTAAAGAAAGAGCACCGCAAAGGCCAAGACAAATGTGGAACAAATTACCTGCTGTCTAAGTACACTATGTTAAGCTTACGACGTCTACAACGAGAAATGACCGCGCTATACAGAACTCTATGAAATTATAGGTAATAACATTAAAGTAACCCAACCCAGCTAATTAGCTAAAAGCATTAAGCTAGTTGGCTGAATTGAGCCACTTAAGGGACCAGATGCTACTAGCGGCACCGCACATGTACAACATCTGTCCGCTTTGACGTACAAACGCTTTCGCATAGGATCAGCACTTAGCACATACACCTACCCCAGTGCTTGTTTTAAAGTGAGTTTACCTGCTCGGCATGAGTCTGAGTCCTGAAAGCAAACTCGATTACAGTTATTCTATCATCTTCTTGCAATATCGTCTTTATTCCGTTGCAATTACTTTTAATTTCCAAATACAGTTTACTTGTTGCAGTTCTCCCATCACCTTATGCGCGAAAGTCACCACATAATATGTATCGTCCCGCTTCGCTTCTGTACAATCGTATTATTCTGTTTTAACAAATCGATGACACTGCTTCAACAATTTCGTTATGTTGTTGCCACTATTCCGTTATCCTCATTCAGATATTCCACTACCACCTTCTAATTTTTTATATTCTATGACGTAGTAGCAAGTGTTTCTGCGGTAATTACCCATTCTAATTAAACCATTACTGTGTTGCTTTTGGCCTGTTACATGCTAGCAGTTATTTCACCATTTCAAAACAAAACTGACCTCAACGTTCAAAACAGCATGTAGTTATTAAGTTGTTTAAAAAACCAACCACGCAATGGACAAGCACAAATGATACTCTCAGTCGTTTCCTATAGAAAACTTGATATACAGCTATAGGACAAATTTGCAAAAAAAAAATTATTAATCTAAAAAACTGTGCCTAATGTGTAACATACAACATATTTCATAACTTCTATGTTTAGAGCTTTTAAAAAAATTCATAGTAGTTAACATGAAGGGTCATATAGATTTTTTTTTT